TCGCTCCTTCTCTCTCAGCTACAGGATTGCCGGTGACCCTGACCTTTAGCCTCTGAACTCTGACTTCAGGGTCTTGAGCTTTTCTCATCAGCAAGTTAACTTTGAAACCTTGGACATGCCTTTGGGCCATCGGCTCTTTTGGGTAGAAGGATCAGGGTGCCCTGTTGACCTATTCACAGACTGTCTTTGGAGCCCACTTTCAATGCAAACCTTCAGGAGTCGTCTCAGCAAGGAAGATAAAGTGGCAGCAAGCAGTTTGGACATCATGATTTTTGACAATAGCTTTCATGCCTCATTTGCTGGAAAAGTGATTAGGTTCTTGTCGAGGCTCTTTGAGGTACTTCACATTTGTCATGACCAATGAGATGGCAATCATGATTGTTTCTTCTCTCGCAGCAGATTTTAGAGAGAAGCAAAACCTCTATAGGGTTGGCTTTCTCCTTTTTCTTTTTCTTTCTCTGTCTTTAAAATCCATCCCTCCCCACCCATTTTTCTGCTGTTCCTCCAGTAAGTTTAGGCTTGAATATCCTTCACCTGCAGTGAAAGGAATGTGGCACTATTTGCATGCTGGACTAGAATTGTTTCAAATGGAATTTGGGGTGAACGAGCGGCACATCCAAGATCAGATTATCCTGGGTGGTGAGTCTCACTTAGTAGGACCTTCTTCTTGCTGTAGGTCATCAGTGCAACCACAAGAGCATGTCATCCATCCATGCACATGGATGTGTGGGCAAGTTCGCAACTGCAACTGCAACTTAGTCACAAAAGCATAGCTCCTTGGGTACCATAGTTCACTGATGCATTGGTGGGATACCTCTGCCTGGTTTCACCTTTCTATTCAATGCCTATGCAGAACAGACAACATCCAAGACTCTCCCCATGAAGACCTTCCTTCCTATTCCTCATATGCTCCCTTCTTGCTCCCCCTGTGAACCAGTTCTCTTCATCTTCAGAAAACTAGTCATATTGCCATTACATCGCGGTGTCACCATATCATGCCATCATTCACAATGCAGTGCACCTGCTGCATGGGGCGTGATGGCTCACATGGTGCTCAGAGCTCATGACCATTGGCCACAAAACGCACTTTCATGAAGCAGAGAAAGCTTGGCTCACTTAATAGGACACAGTTACCTGACTTGTCTGGAGCAGCCCTGATGCATCTTCTTGGGCTCCATCATCATCCTTAGGTGATGATTTTTTCATCACAGTTTATTGCATGCTAATTTGGGATGTGACCAAAGTGTGGAATTAGACAAATCGTTGATAGAACCTATTTAATTCGTAGTGCCAAGTTCTGGATGGCCCTCTAACATTATTCATTATGCATTATTCAAACTGAGATTGATTGAACGTGATATCTTTGCTCTGCGCTTGTGCAATCTACATAAACTCTATTTCTCCACTGGCTCCAGTGTAGATTGGCTTATACTTTCTGAAGGAAATGGCAACATCCTGTGTGCAAAGTTCAAGTTCATGCTATTTTATCTCTTTAAGCCTTCAATGTTCTTTTCTAAATCAATCCATGTACAAATTTGGCATTGAAATCCTTTGACATTTGAAGAAACAGCCACATAATTTCTTATCAGCCGCTTGGGAAGCCGAAGGCTACTTTAGGTCAGGGTGGTGGTGGGTAGCACTCGGAGGCTGCAGCAGGGTTTCTGTGCCAGTTTTGCATGCAGATTTATTTATATGCAAGGAGTTTTTGAGATAGTTAGGAATTTTGTCCAGGATTGGGCCAAGACGACATGCTTTCTATTGGTATAAGTTCACCCTGCATTTGTGCTAATAGTAACAGATTTTGCACTGAAGAGAAAACAGAACTTCCTAACTACTGCAGTTCTGGGAACCAACTGCCAGCAAATCTGTGTGAGGAAAAGTCAGAAATTGGGGAGGCAGGCAAAGATGTTCAAATTCTGAACACAACAAGGACAAGCTGCTTCAACCAGGAGCAAGCTTGGCCCAGAAACCTCCATGGAGATCAGGGCATATTACCTGATGGGGATGTCCTTGGCTGGCATGGCTTGACTGTCCTCTAGCATTGAGCTAAATGTTCCCACAGAACTTTTGCCTTGGATTTGGTGGGAGGATGTGAAATGTGGGCTAAATCCCCTCACCAATTTTCAGGAGCACAACAATGAAAGTCGGGGTGGGTGATTGCTGAGGCTTATTCCAGTGTCTGGCAGCTGGCTAGCCCTATTTTTCTTTTCCTGAAGCCTCCAAGAGTGGTATATGCTGTATCAGGGGCTCTCTGGGAAATGGAAATGCCACCTCTGTGGAGCCAGCCCACCAGGAGGAGGCCAGAGAAGTGGCAGTGGGCGTTCCCGTTAGTTACCCAGTAGGCCAAAGAATCCATCTCCAGTTCAGTGACCTGAAAATGGAGCCACAAAAGTGGAGGGCCATTTCCTTCTTTCAGCAAAACAGTGGCCCATGAGGCTAAAACTTTCCCAAAAATGCATCAGGATACCAAAATCAAGCTCTGTCGTTGTTTCACCCTACCTTCATGGCTGCGCGCTGATCTGCTCGGACCTCTCGACATATCTTCTCTTCAGTTCCTTTATACTTCAGATCCTGGCTGGTAGGTCAAACTCCTCCCACCCATATGCACATGAAAGAAGGCCTTGGAATTTCTTCATCTATTCAACTTCATGATGAAAAGCACTCCTCCAAGGAGGATCCACTTTCTCCCTCTGCCTTCTATACTTACCTTTTTGGCATCCTCACAAACTGTGTTCTCTCCCCTTTCCTCCAATAATGCAAATTCCGTCCCAACGCATTCTTCAGAGGCTCAGTCAAGCAGCGCTGGCAGTAATGAATATGTTTGGTATTCAGGTGGACTTCACAGAGGTGTCCACAGGTGAGCCATTCTAATTCAGTAGCTTTTCATTAACGCTTTCCTGGGCTGTCTGTGCTCATTCTCTGCTTGCTCATTTCTGTATCATCCGATTGACTGTTTTGATTATGAAATAGCTGAGGAGCCGCATGACCTCAGATATCATTATCAAACACTAAGACCAGGACTTCAGTGCCAGGCAGGGTTCAAATTGTGCACATCACCAGTGCAGTATCTGATAAAGCTGAGGCTGAGGTGGTTGTAGGCTGGTGGTTCTGAGGCAGAAACTGAAGACATCAAAAGTTGAAATCTTCAGCTCATACAAATGTGTTGCTTGTTAATCGAATTCATAGTGGTTATGCAAATTATCCATGAGCTACAAAGAATGAGGGCCCCTGTCTCCTGCAGAAGTGCATTATCAGACCCCCCTCCCCCTTTTTAAAAGATGCAATAGCCTAGGAGTTGCATGAACTTCAAAAGCCGTCTGGTTTTGCCTTCCAGCTTGGGCATTATTGTACAGAGAAGATGGCAAATCCAGGTTTCAGATGTGTGGTCCTTGGGAACGTGATGAATTTGGGAATAAAAGGAAACTGCAGCTAGTCCACTGCATTGGTTGTCTCATACCCTCTTCTGTAGCACTCTTCTATGGCTGATTCATGAATGCTAAAACTGTCAACAGTGTGGAAAGCTGACAGGAAGAAAATTGATGTGTTCGAAACGTGGTTTCTGGAGGGGAGCTTTGGGTGAACAGAATGTCAAACACATGGGTCCTAGGTCAAATCAAGCCAGAGCTTTTCCTAAAAGCAAAACTGACAAAGCTGAGACTGCCATACTTCAGGAACATCATGAGAAGGCAAGACTCCCTGGAGAAGGCAATCATGTTAGGCAAAATCAAAAGCAGAATTCTAAAGGGAGGACCAAATATAAGATAGATTGAATCCATCCAGGAAGTCACAGACTTGAACTTAGGAGGGCTGAATGGACATGGAGCAGCCAACTCTCAATTATTAATCACCATCCCCAGAACAGATAAATGATTAGAGATTGGGGATGGGATGGACTCTGTTGGAATCCATCCCTGTGAACATTCATGGGATTCCTCTTGGGCTCAGTCTGGCTTTCTAGGGAGTCCGCAAAACCCAGAGCCCTGGGTGCGCAACTGGAAACCTGTAGATGGTGCGGAAGGGAGACCCTGCTTGTGCAGTAGCTGATGGGGGCTCCTTCCCTAGTGAGTACTTGGTCACAGGGCATCCACCAGGAAAGCAGCCCCTTGACTGGAAGCAGCACCCATCTTCGCGGCAAAGCAACCACTCAATCAGCAGCTGCTCCTTGCACCAAAGAAAGCCTGTTACAGGGTGCTCAGTCACAAGACATCTGCCAGGAAAGCAGCCTCATGTGAGTGGTTGCTCTGACACCCCATGGCCAAGCACCCCACAACCGGCCGTCTTCAGTGTGAGGAGTGGGCACCATTCAAGAGGCTGCTTTGGTGTGCTTGTGGGTGCCACTTGTGCAGTGCATGGGACTTGATTCTAGCAAGTGCACTGTGAGCATTGGGTGTGCTTGCCAGAAACTTGGACTCTGGGCCTCTGCAAAACAGACCAGAATATGGGGAGTTTAGCCCAGGGAATTCGATGGATTCCCAATCCCATACAGATTCCTCACACATTCCTCTCTGAGATCCAACTAAACTGCATATTTTCCAAAACCTGGGGAAATAGTCATCATACAGTTAATGGAGCTGGTGGTGGGGTTCCAACAGTTCTCTCTTAAATCACGTCACCGTCTAGTAGAATCCAGTCTCATTAAAACTAAACTTCATGCATGCACACACGGGAGTAAGCAGCACTGACTATAATGGAATATAATTCAAAGTAAGTGTGCATAGGACTGGGTTGTACATCTCTGAAGCTCTCACTCAGATATTAAGGCTTTAAAAGGGCAAACCTGCACTCTTGATTAAACCAAGAAATGGAGCAGTTGAGTATTCAACATGCAGACATTTCTCTTTGGAAACAAAATAAGGTGATTTGGTACTCTAAAGGTATGTGGGCCAGTTTGGTTGAGGAGAATTTCAGAAGCATCCCTAATCCAGTTCCCTCTAATCTTATCTGTATAAGCCATTTGGTTTTGAATCTTAGTTTATGCATTTCACCCTCTACCATTTTAGGTGCACCCTTCGATCATTTTATAGATGCATGCTAAACAAAAATCAAATGTATGAAGCAGCCTTGCAGGAGTTCTTAAGAGCTTGCATAGGAGATGGAGTGGCAAGAACTGCTCAGGGATGGTCTATGAGTAGACTGTCTGAAGAGGTATTTCTCTGGAGGCATTTAAGCAGAGGCTGGATGGTCATCTGGCAGGGATGCTGCCTCTGCAACAACCAGAGACTGGGCTACATGACCTCTAAGGTGCCTTCCAGCTCTAGGGGGTCTATGAATGATCATATTGCCTACAAAGACATAGAGCTGCTCCTGCCTTTTGCTCAATTTGGCAGGTAAGTACAAGAAAATAAGAGACCTCATGCTGAGGATTCAATCAGATGCACCCTTCCTTGGGAGTGAGCGCCACTGAACGCTACTTCTGAACAAACCTGCGTAAGAAGGCATTGTGCATCCCAAATGTTAACTGGATGGGAGTGTGTGTGGTAATGGACCCTTCCTTGAATTACATAGCACCCATTATTACTAAAATACTAGTTCAGAAAAGGGTCAAATAACTGTCCATTCAAACAGGTGCTGAAATAGTAGCAAAGGTTATTTTGATTCTATTGTTTAAGGGGGGTGCTTTCACTGCAGTCCAGAAGTGTAGAAAGGAACCAGATCTCTTTAAGAGCATGAACATGAGGAGGAGGAGGAGAGGGAGGCAGAGGGAAGACATAATTCCTAAATATAAGGGACACATTAAATTACAATGTTGATCATCACCTAATTGGACAGGACTCACAAGTGGGTCATGAGTTAGGAATGGACTGATTTTTTTTCCAGTTCATTGTTTTAATTTCAATGTACCTAATTTCACACTTTCAAACCAACATGTCTACTGAGACTGACACTTCATAGTTCATATGATACTTCATAGTTTGGACTTCTACACCCTTTTCAATCAAAGTTCTGTAATAATAATGGCTTTTACAAGTGTACTTTGTAATTTATTTTAGGGAAAAGTGCACAGAAAAGTCCATATAAAAATAATATTCAAAATACATTCTCTTAGGAAAATTACATGAGAAAAGTGTGTATAACAGACAAAGTGGAATAGAAAAATGGTGCATGGATTCAGAAAATGCACAGAAAACATGAACAGATCTTCATACCAATTTTAAAGACATTTCCAAAGTTTGGGATGAACAGAACTTAAGGCTAGAAAAATGAGACGGCAGAGACACAGAAATGGAAGGAATGACTTATTCTGCATTCTATTGGCATTAAAGAGCTTGGCAACAAGAGCAGATACCTGTTGATTCACTGATTTACATTATTATTTTATGCTGTGAGCCGCCCCGAGGCTTCGGCAAGGGGCGGCATAGAAATGTTTTAATACATAAATAAAATAAATATTACATGTATACACCACATTTTTTTCTCTTGCATGAAATCCAGGAATACTTACCTGATAATTACCTGAATACTTCTCTCCAGTTTATCCTCATAACAACCCTGTATGATAACTTAGGTTGAGACTTGGGTTTTGGCCCAAAGTTGGCCCATTAACTTCATGACTAAATGGGGACTGGAACGTGGATCTCTCAGTCCCAGATCTTTGTAAATTCTGTTAGGACTTGACCTGATCTGCCCATACTGTAGGAAAGGACCTAAGTATCCACAATATTAAGCTTCCAATATATTCCAATGCCATTCTTGGTTCAAAAGCCAGTGTGGCCTAGTGTTTAGAGTGTTGGAATTGGAATCAGGAGATCTGGGTTCCAGTTCTCACTCAGCCATGAAGTGCACCGGGTGGCTTTGGGACAGTTACTGCTGTTTTGCCCAACCTACCTCACAAGGTTGTGTGAGGCTAAAATAGGTAGGAGGAGGACCATATAAGTCCCTTGGATTTCTTACAAAAAATAAAATAAAAAGTAGGCTATAATGTAATTATAGAAAGAAATGCAGCAATATGCAGATATCTAGGTGACTTTAAAGATATTTATTTTGAGAGAAAAATGCAATAGATTCTACATTTAAACTTAATATTGAATGTTTGGATTCCATCTTTTAAATTATAGGTATGTAGAACTGGGATGGGATGGCATATGTGAAAGCATGCAAAAGTGTTATGAACTAAAGAGCGTTCTTTGTCTATAAACAGATGATTTTTAACTAGGTTGATTCATTCATCCAAAGGAGCTGAAAGGCACCAGGCTGCTCCAACAGTGATGTTACATTGGTGCTCTGTGGCCAGCAATGAAGGAAATCAACAGATATCATGAGGAATCTCCTCCTGCCTGAGACCATCTGTCTGTCCATTTACTGAAAAACCTCCATTTCTAGGGGTCTTAAGGAGGGCTGGGTGAGAATTTCTCTCTGTTCACAATCCGACGGCAGCTCTGAGCTTGCCAAATGCCCACCCAAATCCAAACACAGTCACACTCTGAAATCCACACTTTTCTGAACATTGCAAGCATATTCGTTGATGGGAAAAAGCAACAGTGAATATTAGGTGGAAGACATGTTTGCTCAATATGAATGTTAGAGAAAATGTATAGAAAATCATTGTATGCAATTATTGAGGTGGAAGAGGCATGTGTACATTTGGGAAAAAATGCACAAACATGGCCATTAGGAGAAATGCACATGAAGCATTTGAGTGGTCATGTGGGTTTTAAGGACATGACACCTCCCTTTAATTACAATGAAAATAGGGTGGCATTTTTGTAACTATGGGAAAGAACTTGGCAGAACAGCCCAGCTCTAATTTCATGTCAGTTTGCATACCTTTCTAAAAAGAAAAATGCCATCTAACAAATTACAGAATAAGAAAGTATTTACCCAGGAAACAAAGAAATTGATTGGCCCATTAAAATACAGTATCTATGCAAAAAAGAATGATTTGATGTGTTGCCAAAAAGAAAGCCAGACTGGAAACAATCTACCCTGTTCTCTTGGATACCCAGAGGAAGTTCTTCTCATGTTCTGCTTCCAGCACCTTTAAAAACAAGCAAGCACGCAAGCTCATGTGTGGTTACCTGAGATTAGACCTTGGGCTTCTGCAAGCAAACCATGTGCTCAGCCATTGATCCATGCCCGTTCTTGTAATTTCTTCTAAAGCTATGTTCCATGCCAAACAGGCATACCCCTGCATATCAAGGGAAAGGGAAAGAATTTTGATTGTGGTACCAGTAAATTTTCGCAGGGTGGCACCACATATCTCTGTTAAACTATACTTGAAAGAAGATGTGATATGAAGCTGCTAACCAAGCCCCTGGGATGGACCCAAATATCTCCCAATGGTGTTTGTATAATGCATGCAAAATTGTAAAACCTTTGGAATGAATGCATCTGTGGAGATCCATCCCCCTTGCTCCCTGCTTTCTACTTAATGATTTTTATTGCCCTGGATGCTTAATAATTCCAGAAGTGTCCTGGTTTTAGAACAAAGAGTGCAAATGGCTTTTTCCTCATTTAGCCTTGGGTAAATGGGTCCAGAGTGGAGATTAATAGGCTTGGAAATGTGTTTTCTGTTCCACAGCTGGTAAAGGAAATCTGGTGGCACTAAATTAATCATGAAATGGACTCAAAGAAAGGAAAGGAATGTGAGTGTGGATTAAACTCATGAATTAGGTCAGCAGCTGAGTTCAGAGCAGGATCTTCCACAGCTGCATCTGGTCTGGTATGACTGCCATATGATTGCAGGGATGCCATTGCATTATCTTCAGGTGAGACCGGGAGCTATAGTTGAATCCTGGTAGTGGGTAAGTGATGGAAAAATGATGCACTTTGGTGCATGTGAGGGAAAGGAAACTAATATGCTGGAGTGTATTTGGAAGGTATTTGTGCTGGAATTCTACATTCTCAGACAGATTGTTCACCACTTTTCTAACATTTGGTCTAATCAGAAGTGGTGTGGAAGGGGAAGCACCCAAACACTCTTGGATGTTGCCATGCACTGAAGAGCCATTGATAAGAGTGATATCTGCTTCCCAATTCTTTGCACACAAATTGGGCTAATAGGCCCAATCAGGCTAATAGGCCCATTTGTCCTGAAGGGCAAAACCCATTTCTGCTCAAGGCACATTGTGTGAAGCTGTGAGGTACAACAGCTTCTAAACCCTAGAAAGTCTCTCACTGAGGAACCCAACAGGTATTTTGGACTTGGAACAAAAACATCATCACATTGCTTTGTTAATAAGCTAGCGGGATGCATGATGAATGCTCATGAAAGGAAGATCCTATGGATTAAAGAATGGCCCCCTGCTTTCACACCCCCTCCTTGCTTTTCAATAGAAGCCAGCATTTCAGCAATCAAGCTGCACTCTGAAAATGTTTTGAGCTGTGCTCTCAACTCCTTAGGATGATGCGTGGAATTGGATTTTTTTCAGGCTGGCTGGCATGAAGTCAAGTGTTTGCAGGGCTGCTAATCATCAACTTTCAGAACCTACTGACCTCCATGATTTTCAGTCTGATTAACCTCCCAAAGTTGCAGAAGCCTTTGTGTTGTAGCTATTCCCAGTATGCTTATGCTTGCGGATGGGAAAGATAGTATATTGGGGAAAATGCCTTTCATAGCTGAGAAATAAGCAAAGGTTCAAAGAAAGAGTTCAATGTATCAGAAACCAAATCTCTGGGCTCCCCTCTGGTTCTATTGGTGTTCAATGAGTCTGAGGCAGCAGTTTTCAAGCAGTGCTCAACCTCAGCAGGTGTCCCTGAAGAGGCAGGTCACTAGTCGTTAGGGATGGTTGGTTTGCTTTATCTTTGAGGACAGTGTGACCTGATCTGCACTTGCGCTGACTTGATCTGCACTTTGGAACTTAGTTTGAAGACCTGCTCCAGTGCAGTTCTTGGCTAAAAAGAGGGCATCAAAAGAGAGTGTTTTCATGTAAGGTGCAAATTTGGAGAATCTGTGTGTCTAAAAATACATAATAAAACATACATTTCAATGCTAACTTCCAAGCAGATTTAAAAACATGCAGAAGTTTATACAGTCCAGAAACAGACAAGTTGACTCACTCCTTTGCTGGTTCTTTCCCTCATCTTCATGTTCCTTAGCAACAACTATTCAGATGTAATGCATCATGACTAGTAGCCACTGATCCTCCACAAATCTACCTAACCCCCTTTCCAATCCGTGCAAGTTGATAGCCACCTCTAGGAGACATTTGGCTGCCTCATGTTCTTTAAAAGATGAAGCAAATTGGAATCATGAAGGCAGCACCCAAAGCAGAAACCAATCAGGGCAGTCCTGAGGGGAATGCACAAGCCAATACAGCAAGCAGATACAGATGTCAGAATTGATGGAAGGATAATGCAGTGGCTGAATCACAGTTCCCTATTTTGAATCTTATCCCTGCCATGAGCCTAGCCAGATCCAGGTTGAGAAGGTCTTCAGCAAATGGGTTGGACCCCAATGTGGCTTACCTGTATGTGGTGGATGCAGCAGCAAGTCAAAAGCTGCCATTTTAAGTACCCACCACAACCCTAATAATTGGCAGCCCCTTGTCCTGGTCACTAGAAACAGAGCAGATGACCAGGATATGGGTGGAGGGGATATAAACAGTGGGCTTTTCCAGGACTACCTGAGTGTCCTGCTTGCTGACACTTGGGTAGCAAAGAGCAAATGAGCAAAACCCGAGCTCACAGAGTTGTCTGAATTTGGTCTCAAAGTTCATTCCAATCAAAGTCATCAGCATCAGCATCATTTCAAGGCTATACTGCTGCATAACCACTGCTCTCTGATTGTGGCCGTGCTTATTTTCCAAATGCATGCATTCATTGTGCACATCATGGAAATGAATGCATTCTTCATTCAGCAATTAGAGCATATGTATGCAGATTTTGTTAAAGTACACACTTTTCATGTGCATTTTTCAGATGCTGGATTGCCTCCCTCCCACGCACACACATGAATCACATTGCAAGTTCTGAAATGTACAGACTTTGACCACAGATTGTATCCAGGTCCATGTTCAGTCCAGAACATGTGAACTGGGTGATTTCTGATCAAAAATGAGCTGGAATGACTTTCTTATACCTCCCTAAACTGCCCTGGGCCATGAACTCATGGGAACCCTTCAAGCCACGTTCAGTGAACGCATGAAAAGTTGAAGAGAGGAAGATAACATCTTCTGAAATAGCCCCTTGGCCACCAGATCCCTGCAGAAAGTGCACACACACGTTTCCTGACCCTGCATGCAGTTTTAATGTGCACTGAAATGAACCCAAACCATCTGCAGAATGAGTGGAGATGGGGGATCACTGGGTTGTTCCCACTCTCCCTTCCAAGTACCTTATGGATGGAGCTTGAAGGTAAGAATGAGGGTAAGGTGGTCTTTGGCAAGACACAGTCTCTCAACCTGAACCCTGCAAGTACAACAGAGGGATAATAACATGAAGAGATTACAGAAGTGTATGGAATGTTAGAAAGAGCTATATGCTTGCTGCCTCACATTAATAGCTTCCTGATGGATTGTGCTCCTTGTTTTAACTTCAGTTAACATAGATCCTGTTCTAAACATGGCTAGAAGGAAGCAGAAGTTGATGTGGAAATAGAAATGCACAGTGTGGAAGTACAACTGCATAATTTACTGCTAGAATGCGTGCTGCCATCCATCATACCATGTGAAACTGCAGAGTGGCATACAGAAAGAGACAGAGGTGGAAGCACCAAGGTAGATTTTGGTGGGCTGCAGTTCAGGATTATAAAAAAGTTGCATAGCTGTGGTGATTCAAGGCTGGCTTTCAGCCAACCAGACAGAGAAGCTTTTTAAAAGTTGGTTCTGATTCTCTTTTAATGCACATAATTGATGAAGATACTCTGCTTGTATCTAACCATTTGCTACAACCAGAATGCTATGCTAGAGGTGCAAGCTTTGCTCTGTGTCAAATAGACTCACAGATGGGGATCTACACAGGAGCTGAGGAAGAGATGCTGGTGAGCTATGAAATTTTGTGAGCCTCTTTGCTAGGCTGGTGTAGCACAAATGCATCTTTAACAAACTCTAACAAACAGATGCTTTTTCTTTTTTAATGATGAGGCATGGTGGCTGACACGCAGCCCATGCAAGATCAGGGAGAATTATTTATTAGCCTGTTGAAACCAATAGGAAGTTTTGCACAAACTTCAATAGGTTCTGAATCAGAGCCCAGGAATGTGACAGATGAAAAGAAGATTTCAGTCCTTCCGTGCCCCCACCCATCTTGCCTTCATATTTCAAGGTGTTTTGATTTTCTGATTCTCTCATCAGGCTTTTGTAACTAATCATGTTTTGTACCTTTCTTATGGTGAGGCAAACTCTGAACTCCTGACTGCAATTTAGAGAATAATAACATCTGAGATGCATTGCAGCCTTTTAACTTGTATGCCAAGGGGGAGGAAGAGAAGTGGGAAGAAAGACAAATAGTTTTCTTGGGATTTTGTTCAGAGTACCTTCAGGGAAGTTGCTGGCATAATTGTAAGTCCACTATGTTGTCAAAACAAAGAGTAATGGTAAGAAAGGGAATGCAGTTTGAAGCCAAACATGAGGAAGGTGGGGAAAGGCAGTGGGGAAGGCTAGCTAGGAGGTTTGATTTCAGGAGTTTGATGTTCCATTCCTACTGGCCTTGGCCAAAACTTTGCTGAGCGGTTTGGTGGGCACTCACAGGTATCTACCTTTATGGCAACGGGCAAGACCAGAGGGCTGTTCCTCATGGGCTGGACAGTTCCCAAGCCAGCTTCTGATTTGCTTTTGGGACCACTCTATCCCAGCGACTTGGAGCAGCAGCACAGAGCCATGGTGACACAAGAAAGCCCCTGTTTTGCATTGATGTGCAGCCCAGGTGAAGGGGAGGCACTATCCTGCTCTTTAGCCTGAGGCTGAGTGGCTCACCCACAAGGCAGGCAAGAGACTCACCACGGTTGTGGGAGGTGTTTCCAAACTTGTCCTACAACTCTGGGGTGGGATGGTGCTCCCATAAGTAAAGAGACTAGCTTAGTTGTGGTGAGCCGCCCATATTTCCACCATTCCTTCTCCATTGGCAAAGATAACACCTTTGGCAGACCAACGTGAGACAGGTGGAAAAACGGGAAGAAGGGCTCCAATATGTAGTGTCAGATTAGGAATTTTGAGTTCTGCGTTTTCGCTTTTTCTGTTTGTTTGGACAAAAAAAATGCTGACCACTGGAAATGGTGTGGCAGGGACCACCCTCTGGGTGTTCTGTCAGTTTCTCAGAAAATGTCTTTGTCTGTGAACTTACAAATAAACTAACTGCCCTCAAATAAAGACACAGGGAATTTGCTCAGCTTGCATGTTACTTGCAAGTGAACCTTTCAGAGTCAAACCGTTCCATGAACTGGAACACTGTAAAGCATTTATGCATGTATTTTCCCACTTGAATGAAATGCAAACAAAAATATTGTTTGTTTATTGCATTTCTGTATCACCCAATATCAGTACAAGGCATATACAATTCACAAAAAAGTGTGTCGAAGTGTGACTGTTGCAGAGAAATCTGCATCAGTGCTTAATTTTAATGACGAGGGAATTGAAAATACACGCAGAAAGGTTTCTAATGTACATACACTTTGCGAAATACAGATGAAAATACATGCACGTTCTCATATAGACTTGCAAAAACTCACACCCCAATGTGAAAGGGTGACACAAATTTAGATCTGGGGGAAAAATAAAAGCAACTAACTTGACAGATTTGTCCATCTCTAACAGAAAGTATCGTACGCAGGTTAGCATGTTGGGTTAGGACCAGGTTTATCTCCTTAATCTTGAAACTGACTGGGTAACTTTCAGCCAGTCACACTTTCATCCTCCTCCTCCCTTTTCCCCATCTAACCTTTTTCACAGGGTTGTTGTGAGGATATAAGAGGTGGAGATTGCTATGCAGTATCCTGCTGAGAAAAAATGGTATCATGTAAACACAGTAAATAAATAAATAAATAAATAAATAACCAAGCAGAACCTCCACATCTTTTAACTTTCCTCAGCATTACTGAGGTCTACTGGTAACCTCCAATTCCATCTTGATTAGCACATTTGTTGAATTTCAGTGGTGATGCTATTAGGGAAGTGGCTGAACAACCCCCCAACCCCCCCTCACTAGTCTTACTTGTGTTTTTCTTTCCTCGTAAATCCTTGCCTGTTCAGCTTGAAGTCTATCTCCAGCACATCTCTTAACCACCCTCATAAGAACCAGAAGGTTTTCAGAAACTCTAGGAAGTTTTTTTTTTTTTTTTTTTTTT